AGAAGCATACAGTGCAAGCAGCCATCTATACAAGATCTTTGGCTATCTATGGCCGGGTGCTCATTTCCACCTGGGTGAAGTGAGGAAAATTCGTGTAAAGTGCCTTTCCCTAGGACACAACGTCGGGCCCGTGGCTCGAACCCCCGACCCCGCAACCTCACGGTTACGAGTCCGGTAGTCTTACCACTAGGCTACCGACGCCACATAATAAAACATCAGTAACAAACACACAAAAACAAGAAAAATAAAAAAAAAGCAAGAAAACGAATTCTGGAACAAAAACTCGTCTGTGTTAGACCTTCGTTTAGAATTTCAGCTCCAAGCAAGAGAGAGAAATCAACTTGCTGTGACACTGAGACATATTGTCAGAAATCAAGAGAAGGATGCGCTAATCTAATCCTAAGTACAAAACTGTATCCTGAGGTTAAAAGAAAATATTGTAAGGTCTCAAGTGTTCTGGTGTTGGAGCGTCAGAAATTTCAGCACACGACTTTTCATAATGTATAAATCATGCGTCATTATTGTGTGTGTTTGTGTGTGAGTGTGTGTGTGAGTGTGTGTTTGTGAGTGAGAGAGAGAGAGAGAAAGAGAGAGAGAGAGAGAGAGAGAGAGAGAGAGAGAGAGAGAGAGAGAGAGAGAGAGAGAGAGAGAGAGAGAGAGAGAGAAGGGAACAAAAGTCAGTATAGCTAGTCATTTTCTTCCACTCTGTTTTATTTAATTCAGAGAAGATCCCTCATTTAAGTTTCTCTTTGAAAAAATGATTTGTGTTGGGATAAAGGCTCAACTATATGATACCACCTTCACCACTCCTAGCGGTCACCCATTGTCCAGTTTTTACACCTGTGTCGGTTCCGTCGAAGACTCACAATATTTAGCGGACATGAACGACGATTAAAAAGCTCGCTTGTCATATCCGTATACACACCGGCCTTTTGTAGATGTTCTGTTTTTATAAGTGATCTATGAAACGAATGAACTGATGGCCCTGAGGGAGCCAGGAGACTCCTGACAGGGTTGGGGGGACAATAGAAATTAATGATGATATCATCAGATCCTGGACTGACTTGCCTCGGCTTGTTTTTGGTAAAGATTTTAAATTTTAGTGATGGTCATTGCAATCAAAAAATCGAATCTTTAGATTAGGTTCTGTATAACTTAAGATGCCTATGAAGTACCTCCACTTTAAAAAAATGCATATAAAAAAACACCCCCAAAAATGAACAACAAGCAAACAAAAGTTAAAAACAAATCGTCTCTTAAAAATAGATAAAACTGAAATGAAATAGAATAATAAAAATTAAAAAGCAAACACAGAGAGAGAGAGAGAGAGAGGGAGGGAGAGAGAGAGAGAGAGAGAGAGAGAGAGAGAGAGAGAGAGAGAGAGAGAGAAGGAAACAAAAGTCGGTATATTGAGACATTTTTTTTTCACTCTATTCTTGTCATTCAGAGAAATTCTCTTTATTTGATAAAGTTTCACTTCAACAAAACGACTAGTATTGTGATAAAGGCTTGCCTATATCAAACCACCTTCAACACTCCTAGCGGTCACCCATTGTCCAGTTTAAACACCTGAGCCGGTTACGTCGACGACTCACAAAATTTAGCGGACATGGACAACGATTAAAAAGCTCGCTTGTCATATCCGTATACACACCGGCCTTTTGTAGATGTTCTGTTTTGATAAGTGATCTATGAAACGATTGAACTGATGGCCCTGAGGGAGGCAGGGGGCTCCTGACAGGGTAGGGCGGACAATAGAGATGATGATGACTGGCTTGCCTCCTCTAGTTTTTGTTAAAGGTTTTGAATTTTGATGACGCTCATTGACATTTTTCAAAGCCTTTTGATTGGGCTGTGTGCAACTAAGGCCACTAAGGGTGCCTATGGTATCCCCTCCATATATAAGGGCCCGATCTGAAATTTTTTCTTCCTATTCGATTTCACTTCTCAGTGAGGTTACAGCTCTTGATATTGCGATCTTGTGTTCTGCATAGCCGACGTTTTCCAAAGTGCACATCCCGGACTTCAGAATCAGTTGTCTTTTTTCTGCTTTCTGGCATACGTATTTTCGTTAGTGCACTGTGCTCTGTGCTGTTCGTGAGATTCAAAGACTTGAGAAACGTTTCCGAAAAATCTACTTGTTTGTTGATTTCCCTGGCGTTTTGTGCTGCTGTTTACAATCCAGCAACCATGCCGGTGTTGAAGGAAGCCAAGTACAGAGTCCTGAACAAAGACGCGTTGGAGATTTTGGACATGGAACAGGTACGTTGTCTTAGACATTTTCTTACTTTTGTGTGTGTTTTGAATAATTTGTTTCACTAATTAAACTTTGAGTATTAAGCTAATAACGATATTAGAAAATGCGTTACAGTTCTTTGCTAATGTATGCATAAAAAGTTGTTTGGAATTGACGATGCTTTTTGAACTTTTTGAAAGATGTAATAATTGCCTCAACATGAAGGACAAACTCTCTCTCTCTCTCTCTCTCTCTCTCTCTCTCTCTCTCTCTCTCTCTCTCTTTCTCTCTCTCTTTCTCTCTCTCTCTCTTTCTCTCTCTCTCTCTTTCTCTATCTCTCTATTTATCTCACTCTCTTCTTCCCCCTCTCTCTCTATCTCCCTCTCCTTCCCCTTCTCTTTCTCTCACTCTACCTCTCCCCCCCCCTCTCTCTCTCCCCTCTCTATCTCCCACTCTCTCCCCCTCTCTTTCTTTCTCTATCTCGCTCTCCTTCTTTCTCTCCCTCTCTGTCCCTCTCTCTCCCTCCCTCTCTCTCTCTATATATATCCCCTTCTCTTTCTTTCTCTCTCCCTCTCTCTTTCTCTCTCTCAACCTCCTCTCTCCCCCTCTCTTTCTCTCTCGCTCTATCCCTTCTACATATCAGAACAATATCACACTAATAAATTTTGTGGTCAAGGAATACTTTTACTTTTCTTATCTTCATTATGTGTTTCAAGTAAGTCAGGCTTGATAAATGGACCTAATATATAGTAAGCTATTATTATTCCTAACGGAATTTCGTTGAAATCAGAATGTAACACAATCAATTGTTCTATACAATCAGTTAATCGACATATGTGAGGCAGCGTGGCAGAATCAGGCTCTCGTCATTTTTTGGGCATGTAGAGTTATTGGTATCATCTTAAAGCTTGTTCACCTGTCTTTATTTGGATGGAATAAGTACCCATTTAGCTTGAATGCAAGTCAAGATATTTGCAATAGAAGGAGATGAGAGTCACCTGTTTTCAGAGGTAAAATTAGTGAGAAAATGAACGCCAAAGATTAGTTATTTCCTTACCTTAAGATCCTGTTTTAACTGAAAATGTACATTTTTTTGTGCCTTTAATCAACGTTTTTCAGAAAAATCCACACAGAAATGAGTTCTTTAATGGATATGAAGGGTGTTGAGCCAAAAAACAAAAATTTGATAAAAATTCCCAAACTTGCGGAAAAATGCAAGTTTCTTCACTTTTATTATTTTGACGAGAGCCTGATTCCACCACGCTGCCTCACATATGTAAATGTCCACAGAAATGATTTTCATGAACAATAGTTGAAGATCAAACAGAAATATCAGAGTATGTGAAGGTTGCAACGTATAGTAGACTTCTAACTATAACATTAACCCACTGATACTTCCACGGATATAGTTGATACTAACCCTGCTTAAAACCCTAACACACATACACATACACAATCATACTCACACACATACACACACACACACACACACACACACACACACACACACACACACACACACACACACACACACACACACACACACACTCACACACACTTAATCTAAAAGACTTGGTTAACTGACTGCCTTTACCATACACATATCAGTTGCTTTGTTAATTAAATAATTTTGAGCGCTACCCTTTTTTCAACACAACTTTTGTTCATCCAATTGGTTTGATGACCTTGAGATGTGTGTGTGTGTGTGTGTGTGTGTGTGTGTGTGTGTGTGTGTGTGTGTGTGTGTGTGTGTGTGTGTGTGTGTGTGTGAGAGAGAGAGTGTCCACAACCGTCTCCGATAGGACTAACCTAGAGTTACAGAGGGGGGGGGGGGGGGGTAACAACTCTCCCATGATAACAAACAACCTCAAAGATATCTCGGGGAATTCTTGTTTAGATTCAGTCTGAGCTCCTGACTCCGGTGACCAGTGTTTTAGCGACTACCACACTCAAGCAGGATTTATGTACTAATGAAAATCACTATACCGTTAGACAAGAAATATGCAGTACTCGTATTAATGTTGCTTCTTATATTTTTTTTAATGTTGGCGTTTTAATACAGCTATGGACACAATTAAGATCTATTAGGAGACGGGCTTCTGACCCTGCCTGCCACGACGAACCCAGGCTGAGAGGGATACAACATCCCATCCCAGCAGAAAGACCGAGATTCTCGATAAATATTCTCCTCACAAGGGAATTGAACTCGGATATCATGTGTGGGATAACTGCGCGGCTAACTGCTACACCATAGACATGTTAGGTATTGACGTTAAGAAATGTGGCTAGTTCATGAATTTGTATTTACATAGTATTTAGAAGTATTGATGTGTCTTTTTTATTTATCATGAAATGTAAACAAAGGCCCTTACTCTTATTTTTTTAAATCTCGTTTATCTTTTTGTTTCATATACTCAAATAATTTTGTTCGTTCACCCATTTCATGTTTTATCTTGTTACAACTATAGTCGCATTGAGCTTCCATTCATATCTCTAATCCTGCTTTCTCTTTTCTCTTCTATTTCAGATGGAACTTCTGGCCGACAGAGGCAACTGGGAGGTGATCGTAGCGGCGAGAGCTCGACAACCGAAGGTGAAAAGGGTTCTGAAGAAGTTCTTGTTGTTTGAGGATGATGACCATACCTCGAGGATGTGGAAATGGTCCTCCTTTAAACACGAGCTGTCCTTCTTGCAATCCCTGGAGCACCATAACATCGTCAGGGTGTTGGCTGCTTTTCAATGCCCGTCCTATTTGGGTATTGCGATGGGGTATCATCCCACAGATCTTTCCCGTGGACTGCTTGACGTGACCTACTCCGAGGCGCAATCCTACACAAGTCAGCTCACGGACGTCATGTGCTACTTACACGGTCAGCGCATCATCCACGGAGATCTCAAGCTAGGGAACGTTCTCCTAGACAGAGCCGGCGTGGTCAAACTCTGTGACTTCGGTCACTCTCAGGTCATTCCCCAGGATACAGACAAGCCCAACGGGTGGGGAGGCACCAACGGTTATCTGCCACCAGAGTTATACGACAGCCAAGTTCACAACGCCTTCAAGATGGACAACTACTCCCTGGGCATCTTGCTGTGGGCTTTGTTCTTCGGGACTGCTCCTTGCGACAACATTGATTATCTGAACGAAGTGGACAACGGTTGGTTTCTCAAGCCACAACACACGCACTGTCTTCAGCGGCTTCTGACTCTAACCCCTACACTCCGAGCACACATTTGGGAGATTGCTGGGATTCTCAAGGACGAGGATACATCAGAACGTTGCGTGAGGAAGGGCTCTGTGTGTTCTCTGAGCTCCGAGAGTTCTTCGGACTCTGCTCAAGCGAACCAGTCATCTCCAGACAACGGTTCTTCTGTAACGGAACGTCCAGAGAGTGCGGCCGTGTGGAACCAGTTCCTTGCCCCACCACCCCCACACCCCCAGGCCACATCCTGCTACCTTCTTCCTCAAACGGCATATCCTGACAGTGGAGACGTCACAACCAGCCTGGCTCCGACTTGGCCGCCTCTTCACAAAGACCTTTGAAATGTACAACTCAGCAATTCTTGGACATTCTCTCCAACAACTTCCAGATGTTGGGTCAGTCTGAGCGGCCATCTCCTGGTAACGTTTTTCCTGACCGGAATTCTCCACAAGGCTCAGCTGGCTTCAACCAGGACATGCCTGTGTTCTCTGTCTCTTCACCATGGACCTCGGGCTTTGGTATATCGGACTAAGAGAGAATGAGAGAGAGAGAGAGAGAGAGAGAGAGAGAGAGAGAGAGAGAGAGAGAGAGAGAGAGAGAGAGAGAGAGAGAGAGAGAGAGAGAGAGAGAAAGGGGGGGGGAAGAGTAAGTGTGTATGTATGTGCGCGTGTGTGAGAGAGAGAGAGACAGAAAGTGTGTGTGTTTGTGTCTGTGTGTGTGTATGAGTGTGTATGTGTGTGTGTGTATGTGTGTGAGAGAATGTGTAGGTGTGTGGCTGCGAGAGGGGAGGGGGGAGAAAATGTATGTGTGTTCGAGAGAGAGACAGGTGGGTAGAAAAAAGTATGTGTGTCTATGTGTGTGTATGGGTGAGAGAGAGATTGGGGGATGGGGGAGAAAGAAAGTATGTGTGTGTGTGTATTAGAGCGCCTATGTGTGTGTGTGTGTGTGTGTGTGTGTGTGTGTGTGTGTGTGTGTGTGTGTGTGTGTGAGAAAGAGCATAAGAGAAAGAGAGACAGAGAGAGAGAGAGAGAGAGAGAGAGAGAGAGAGAGAGAGAGAGAGAGAGAGAGAGGGAGAGAGAGAAAGATACGGGAGGAGGGGAAGGTGTTGGAAGGGGGCGGACACAAAGACAGAGTGCATTGTGAGAGATGGTAGATAACAGGGTGTGGCTGCAAAAGTTTGTTCCAGTTTTTACGAGTTCGCATGTACATACAGGGAACGTTTTTATGCACATTTTGTACAGTTAAAGTGAAGAAATAAAGTTATTTAATTAACTGTCATACACGATATGTGTTCATTCGTTTACTTTTTTTTGTAGCAAATAAACTCCTCTTTTCTAAAATAGACCTTCTGGTTTCAGAGTTCTGGGCATAAAACGTAATATATATTTGTATAGGCACCAACGCGTAAGTTCTTGCATAGGTGCAAATACGCTTTCCTGACTTAACGAGTTCATGTGTACATACAGGGAAGGCTTTTATGCAAATTTTGTACAGTTAAAGTGAAGAAATAAAGTCATTTGAATTACTGCCATACACGATACGTGTTCATGCGTTTAATTGTGAATTTTTGTGTATAATATGTATATAACATATAATTTTTTGTGGAAGGGCACCAGCGCGTAAGTTCTTGTGTAGGTGCAAAAATACTTTCCTGATTTCACCAGCTCACATGTACATACGATGAACGTTTTATGCACATTTTGTACTGCCAAAGATAACAAATAAAGTTGCTTAATTATTCTCGTCCATAAAATGATAATGTCACTATGGTCATTGGTTTAAATGTGGTTAAACTCTTCTTTTGTCAAATAATAATATCCCTTACGATTTCACAGTTCTTTGTATGTATATACTGCGTCTGTAAATGCATCAGTGTATAAGTTCTTTAGTGTGTTTTGGAGATAGATAGATAGATAGATAGATAGATAGATAGATAGATAGATAGATAGATAGATAGATAGATAGATAGATAGATAGATAGATAGATAGATAGATAGATAGATAGATAGATAGATAGATAGATAGATAGATAGATAGATACGGACACACAAACAAAGAGCATTGTAGATATTGTAGATAGCAGGGTTTGGCTGCAAAGACGAGTTCCTGTTTTAACGAGTTTGTGTTTACATATACAGGGAAGGTTTTTTAAAAGAAAATTATGTAAAGAAAAAGATAAGAAATAAAGTCACTTTTTTGCTATAAAATGCTATGTGTGTTTTTTGGTTTCCCAGTTGCTTCTTTTTTATTTTTTGTAAATAAACTCCTCTTTTGTAAATACATAATATATTTTGATTGTATTGTTTGTTTATTTGTGTATGAATGTGTGTATGTGTGTGTGGGGGGCGTCTATCTATCTATCTATCTATCTATCTATCTATCTATCTATCTATCTATCTATCTATCTATCTATCTATCTATCGCACACGTACAGTGTTGGACTGTAGGTGTTCAGTCAGGGGACACTACACATACACTTGACTAGAGCTCTATGGAGAATCTTCTGTTGTTTCCCCTTTACTCTTGTCTAAACGGTGAGCAGCCATGTTGCGAAATTCGATAGTTGTAGGAATGAACCAACAAGTCTGATGGTCAAGACCCCAGCAAGTTCACTGAACCAACAAGTCTATTTAGTTTAGTTTTAGAAAGTGTTTTACGTCACTTGCAACACAATAAGGTCATTTTAGTACAGAAAATGAAAGGTGTTACAAGAGAGAAACAAACACAAAAAGGAGGGGAGATAAAGATGATATTATGTTTAATAGGAAAGAAGAAGCAATCCACACCAAAGCACCCGCCAACCACCCCACACCATCAGATCTGATAGTCAAGATCTCAGCAAGTTCACTGAGATTGACTCCACAGCTTGTGTTTCGTGTACACGAGGAGGTCTTTGTTTACCATTGTTGTTTTAGACACAACAACAACAACATCAACAACAACAACAACAGCAACAACATCATCATCATTATAAAAAACAACAGCAACAACAACAACAACAACAACCAACAACATCAAAAACAATGTGTTTGATCTTAGAGTGAGAATCACAAACTGAAAATCTAAAATTTTCACTGATTTTTTAAATTTAGCACTTTTATCCGAAATAATTTTGCGTGGATTGTAAAACTAAAGTGATTTTTAAATTATTTTCCTGACGAATCGAACTAGTTTCACCAACATATATTGCATTAACCCCCCAAAACCTACTCCAGTAACACAGCTCTATGATTTCTGTTGGTAACAGGAGAGAACATTTTCCTAGGAAGTTTAACGCAAAAGTTGACGTTACGCTCTAATGTGACGGAATTAAGCCAAGAAATTTCACATTTATGTCTATAGATGGTTGATTCATTTCATCAACATTATTTCAAATGAGAATCTAACATTTGACATTTTTTTAAAAAGGACTATACTTGGAGGGAATTTAATTTACAGTTTAAAAATGAATAATAACGCTGACTTGGTGTTACGGAAGGAACAGTGTGTCAAATCTTAATTTGGTAGGTCTAATAATAGGTTTATAGCTTACAATCGAAATGGTCTAAGACGACCACCTAATGTTGTGAAAAAACTGCCATCTTAGAGGACAGGTGGCTGTCTTACACAGTGTTATTATAATGTCACCCCTCCCTACCTCCCCCCCCACCCCCAACCCCTCCCTACCCCCCCCCCCTAATCTCTGTAACTAACATCTAAAAAAACGAAACGAAACACTAAACGCTCCAACGGACACCACAATAACCTTTGCTACTCTGTTGTGTC